TGGTCATAATACTGCGCTTATTGTTGGTTTTAAAACCTGTAAATAATACAGTCGATATGCATCATACTGACAGATTCTGAGTAAAAAACAATTAAAACAATATTTGTTGGCAAACAAACACATGATTGAGATTTCTACACTTGATTTGTTATTTTTAAGTTGACATTAACGTGAAGGTAAGAAACCTGCTGGTACCATGTTGGATCTTCAAACACTGAAGCATACGATGGTAACAACAGCGAGAAGTTACACATTGTGATGACAACTGTGGCCCATGTAAACATAAACAGATACTGTATAATTTTCCAAAGCTAACATCTGTGTATTTGAAAGCCTTAAATTCGCCACACATGCTGTAGTACAGCATATTTTGTCTATATGAAACGGAAACGGGAAACGGGAAACGGGAAACCCTTGTAATATAATTACATAAGGTTTTCCAACCATTTAACAGCCTGTGCATGACCAGTAATGCATGGGAGATAACTGACCAATCGCTAGCTTGGATAGTACAGTACGGTGACGACTGATGAGATTGCTTCAGGTGAAAACGGAGTAAGACAGAGGTGTTTGATGTGAGACAGTGTTTACCGTCGCTAAATAAAGACGGCAGAGACACAGCAGGAAGACCAGGTATTTGGTGGACCTTGACTCCTAGAAGACCTTGCACTACACTTGGGGCTATCAAGCATAGTAAGGAAGACACTATGAAGCTGTTACTGGGTGTGAGTGTGGCCATCACGAAGCTCTTTACAGACACTCAACACCTACATCACTCAACAGGTGCTCGTGATCGAACAAAGTTTTAAAAAACCAAGACTTTATCCGTATTATTAAACACCTTCCCTTGAAGAGGGTCGTCGTGTTTCAACCCCAGTTTTAAACTAATTGAGTCCTGAGGAACACCGCAGTACTGTACTTAACGGGGCGGTGTGGCGGTAAAATGAACTAATTCCGTTAAGTACTGTACTGCGGTGTTCCTCAGGACTCATTTAGTTTAAAACTGGGGTTGAAACACGACGACCCTCTTCAAGGGAAGGTGTTGTTTAATAATACGGGCGTCTCTGTGAGCTACAGGAGACACCAGAGAGGGATGTGGTTTGTGACGAACACTCACGCAGTGGAATTACGAATTATTAAGTTTACAGCAATAAAACAAAGATTTACAGAAAGTCCTGTAGGTGGCACTCACATTCTGCAGGCGACAACTGTCAGGTTTACAAGTTAACAAACTGTAAATCTTGCCATCACTTTGTGAAACACTAATACCAGGATATTCTCATGAATTAGAGTACACGATAAACTATTCCAATTATTTTACCTAAAAACAGTCATAATTAAGTTGTTCCGAATTTTGATAGTTTTATTTTATTTTAGTTTTATTATGGGGATTAGACCACCCAGGCACAGGTCAACAACCCACACCAGGGCCTGGGGGGTGAAAATGTAATAATAATAATAATAATAATAATAATAATAATAATAGTAATAATAATAATAATAGTAATAATGATAATAGTAATAGCAATAATAATAATAATAATAATAATAATAATAATAATAATAATAATAATAATAATAATAATAATAATAATAATAATAGTAATAATAATAATAATAATAATAATAATAATAATAATAATAATAATAATAACAATAATAATAATAATAATAATAATAATAATAAATAATAATAATAATAATAATAATAATAATAATAATAATAATAATAATAATAATAATAAAATAATAATAATAATAATAACAATAATAATAATAATAATAATAATAATAATAATAATAATAATAATAATAATAATAATAATAATAATAATATAATAATAATAATAATAATAATAATAATAATAATAATAATAATAATAATAATAATCATAGTAAATAAAATGTATAATAGAAATACAAAATTAAAAATAGAATAATAAAATAATAATAATAATAATAACACCACTGTAATAATAATAATAATAATAATAATAATAATAATAATAATAATAATAATAATAATAAAGAACCATAAAGAAATACAAAAATGAAAAAAAATAGATCAATAGTGAGAAACAAGTTATTTATGTTGTGTTGTCAATAGTAAGAGAAACAAGACCCTGCAACTGTGTGTAAATGAGGCAGAAAGTCAGATCATCAACCTGGTCACATATGTGTTGTCTGTTGTAGCTGTGGCATTTTATTAACTGTAATGGAGTAGAGTTTCGTATTTTTCCCTATTTAGTATTACCATGGGATCTGCAGCCCTACCACCAATATACATGTGAAAATCGCTATTCCAAATTCCCGAAAATTGAGTTTAAAGTTCATTAGGACTCAGCCGTACACTAATTAATCTGTACCATCATAAGCCATTCATCCCAGTAAAAAAAAAATACGCTTAAAGCCATATAGTTGTTAAAGTTCAGTAATGTAGTATAACATCAACAGCACTTACCTAGTACAGAGGCTTTTACAGTCGTTTTTATCCATGAATTATCAAGTCTCCCCGGCCGTCTCCCTCAGAAGACATCATTATTCCCGCCTCGGTGATCTGCCCCCTGTAGTCAAGATCTATATTCAACAATGAGGATATTTATATAGAATAAATATCAAACCTCGTAAAATAACTTAATTGAATTTAAAAAGTATTAAATACCACATTTTTAATAAACTGCTTTAATTATTTTTTTTTATTAGTGTTGATATTAGTGACCTCAGCTGCCCGGGCATTATGAGGGGAGGCATCTAGAGTTGTTTAGGCTGAATACTTTCATTTCTTTTCATTTTCTTGGTCAACTAGCCTAGAGTCTACGCGTGTGTGACAGAGCGCACTCAGAAAATTAGTGCAATAAAATGACATAATAGGTGTTAGATGTCACGCTTAAATGTACCAGCCTTGAATAAAACTGAATAATAGTGTGAGCCACCGGCCTGCCTGCTGTGGCGTGGAGTCAAGTCACAGGAAAGCTGGACTTACAAGAGTAGAATTTTTTTTAAGAATAAAACTAAGTAAACTAGAAAACAAAATCCTCTTTTTTTTACAGAATAAGCGATTATATTTAGTGTAAGTTTAGAGGTACAGTATTTATCACCACACGTCAGCTTACTAGCCATTCGGTCTGTTCTTTGTCCAAACCTTCATTGTCCAGTGTTGTTACGGGAATAAACCGGAGTACCAGGTAATACCAGCCTTGTTTGGTTTTGTCACACTGGATAACTCCCTTCCCACTCCCGGGATCTCAACCAGCCTTACGTATTGTTCAGAAGCAAGTGAGTTGACGGTATACCACCAACACCCCTGATTTATTACGTTAATATCATTGTGTCCAGTCATTTTCGGGTAATTAGTTCAATAATGATCAATTGTGATTTTAAGTGCAAATTTAAACTAGTATCAGGGCCTCGAGTAACGGACCTCAGTGGTGCAAGACCTCCAACATAGCCAAGTCAGAGATCAAAGTTTTCCTTCAGTAAAAATCAACCTTCCATTACCCATCGCATTATTACAGTATTCTTGTGAATTAGAATATTAGATATATATGTTAAAATACGGCTAAATTTCCTGGAATATATACCAGAAGGTGATCTCTGTTACCATGGATAAACCGCTAACTGGGAACATCTACAAGGTACCATTGTAGTGCCAAGACACCAAGCCAACTAGCATCTGATTCTTATATTATTTATCTATTTTAGAGCTATAGGAATATTTCTTCATTTAAACTAGTTCTTTGTTATATTTTAAGTTGAGTTATATTGTTGTATCAGTAGTTATATTGGAGAGAAACCAATATATGAGTACACGTGTCCACATCTCAGTTATTACCAGTGTGTAGACTTGTTATAATTTATTGACTTACATGTAGTATAATGTAAATGATAATAAGAAGAATATTATTTAACCAATTCAATAATTAGGTTGGTAATATATTCTTCTAAACTTATGTGGTATTTGATATGTTTTAGTTATAAATAAATCAATTTAAATATTTGTTAACTGAATGGCTGTTGCTGATCTTCGGGATATTATTGGAACCTGCGAGGAACATCTGGCAACGTTCCTCCGCGTGTTACGTTCACTGAGTCTCAATACTCTCCACCACATTAAACCTTCACTATCCCATTCATACTCTTAATATATAATACCCAAAAGTATTAGTTTTAAAGGAAAAGAAATAAATTAAAGTATAATAACTCTATGTATTGATTTAGAAATTGAATATCATATTTTAAATTAATTATTTTAAGTCTAAGTCACAGCCATTTATCAAAACCAGATAAGAATTTTCAACGTTTGCTGCATAACCTTATTTTATTATCTATATCTACTTTCCAATAATGATTCAATTACAATATTATCCAAACAATCCCTTAATATAAAAACATATATATGACACTGTAATAGAAGTAAAGGATCAATATACACAACAAACGTGACTATTCTCATTTTTTTAAGAGACATATCTCTCTCCCATGACGGCCATTCTAAATGCGTACGAGAACCTGTCCTTGAGACCCCAAACATGGACCATACTCTCGACAATTGAGCCAAACTCACACATATGGATCTTCTACCCACCTGACACCCTCACTAACGACGGACAGTAACAGAGGTGAGTGGTTAAAAGATACACATGAGGTTGATAAACGTTAGGAATTACTAAAAAAACGTTTGTGGGAAAATGTGAGGGAAGTTGGGTGTTGGTTGGTGAGGGTGTGGGAGCAATGGCGAGCCAGGGGATAAAATACTTCATTTATATCATTATTACTACCATATGCTGACCCATCTATCACTCACGTTATCATGTTATCCTCTAGGAGTTGTGTGGTGATGTTATATGTATGAATGATTATTAGGAATAGATGAATTAAGGAGGAACAAACGTTTAGTAATTGTTAATGTAGGTCTTTGTGGTAGTTGGAGGACGTTGTAAGGCGTAGGCTGTGAGTCATCCTTCTGGGAGCTGTCTAGGGTGAGTCTACTTATCCTTTCTCTCTCTCTCTTAACCTCCTTCCTTACCATTAACTCTCTTTCTCCCTTACTTATGGGGTTTAAAGGTTTCTCAATATCTTAAGGTGAATAAATCTGTTGTATGGAGAGGAAGAACTCCAGAGTGAGTCATCATGTCCTGTAGTAAGTATTGTTGTCTCTCGGGGCATTATAATGTGGTGTTGGTGACTAAACCTGATGGCTGTGATGGCTGTATTATATTTCCATCCAGTTATGGGTTTTATTCACAGCTGTGTGTGTTTGAGTGAGTGATTATGGTCCCATAGTCCAGTTCCTAGAATTTATTGCCTCAGGGTATTCTGGATTAACTGTTTCTAAACTGTTCGTCCTTGAATTTAAAATTTACTTAGACTTACCATAAAATAAGTCATTAAAGTTGTTGGAAGTAGAATGAGCTGGTAGAGAGGAAATCAAATGGAAGAATTAAATGTTTTCCTCCTACAGTACTTCAGTGTGTACAGTCTCATAAATTTAAAGGAACAAACATTGAATTGGTGAATATTTAGCCTTGACCAGCTAAGTTCCTACCAACGCTATTTTACCGTGAGTGATTGCCTAAGAACTGTTTAATATGACGGGTGGGTTAGGTTAGGTTAGGTAGGTTTCTTTGGCTGGTTCTATTAGGTTCTAGTAAAATGTCGCCTCTTATAATGATATGAACATCGGGAAAAATGAACACAATCGAACAACAACTGCTAGTGGTGTATTACTGTATTTTTAACCATTTTACAAGTCAGGGAAGGTAGGTAAGGTTTTCAAAGGCTTGTTTGGTGTTTTTAACATCTTCCCTCCACTGCCCACTTTGAACAGCCGGTCTTATTATATTAGTGCACTGTTCAATCTCTTGGTGTTAAGATGTTTTTTTCCGACTCTTTAGACAATTCTTAAGACATTTTTCATCTATGATATTTTCGTCGGAAATTAAGGTTAGGTTTGGTAGGTTTTTGGCGATTTCCCAGGTTTTTTTTTCTTTGTTTTTTTACACAGAAAAAGAGGTAGGTTAAGTTAGGTTGTATTTCATTGGGAATTAGAAATATATAGAAGAAAAATGGGTAAATTTTTACTTTAGGACAGGAGTCCCTAGGGGTTGACCAATATGTTTTTCCAGTGTTTTTTGGTGTTTTTGACGAATCTGACCTTCATTTCTGGCGGGAATTGCTCGTTTTTGCCCCCCAATAATGGGGGAAAGCCTAGGAAGTCAGGGTTTTGGGTGAGGGAAAACACGAAAACGAGTCGTCTAACCTAACCCCTAGCCTGGTGCTCCGCCTCAGGACCCCCGGTAGGCTAAAGCTTAAACTAACCTAATCTATCATATTAATTTCCAACTAATATAAATGGGGTTCAAAAGACTCAAAATAATGAGATCTAAATGTTTCGGTAGTTTTAAACTTTGGGGCGCACCGTCCGAAAGTACTGTACCTTAGTTTGAAGTGGAAGGACCAGGGATAGGTTCAGGGTCAACCTCTGATGCTTGTTTTTTTCTAAATTTACAAGCCGATTTACAGTGCGGGCACTCAACAGACGTAGGGAGAACACCGTGATCACGTAGGAATTGGATAGCTTGATCGTCTTTCTCGTAAAACTCGGCAATAAACTTAAAATAATCGCAGAAGCACGATGCACACCCACCTCCACCACGGCCATTGTCACACTGGTCATTGAAATTTAAATCCTTCAAATCCGTACCTTGGTTCCTTCCTTTGAAAAAAAAAAATTTTTGATTGGTCGAAAAAAAAATCGCGTGATGAGATCGATACATCATTGGTCACAACTGGAAGACGTCATGCATTCGTGATGTAAACACGCTCATAATTAGCTCGCTTTCACGACGATAACATCTCCTCACATATACTTACTGAAAACTACGTAAAATCAATTAAATTCAGTTGTGTCGCTATTATCCATTTCAGCCTGTTATGTATTGGGTTCAAAATGCGCAGAATAGGGAGGTCTAAATGTTTTTGCTTTGGGGCGCGCTATGTCTTAAAGTAAAATAATACCAAAAAATGTCTTAGAATTGTCTCAACATTAGAAAAAACATTTCCAACACCAAGAGATAGAATGGTGCACTGATATGAAAAGACCGAGCAACCAATTACTGTATCTACCAATTGAAGCATTTGCACAAGAAATGATTTATCTTATTGGAACTCGTTGATAAAACTATAGAAAGAAAATATCAAAACAAATAATTCGTCGGTGGGTCAGGCGTCGATATTAGCCAAAAATTATTATGTGCGAATGCATCTGTGGTAGTCACAAGGTGGTTGGAAGGCTACCATAACAACTGCTCAATAAAGAGTTCTTTCTCCACCTTGTGTTCCTTTTTGCCAAATTTGATTGACAATAAGTGGTAAAGCTGAATATGTGGTCAACATTCTGAGTTATGAAGACTTGGGAAGATAAAGGACTTTACATACAGGATAAGGCAAGATGTCTACCCAAACCAGGAAAATATTACAAGTGGACAATGATAGGAAAACTTTGAATGAATATTGAGTGTAGTTGTGTTTATTTCATGGGATCTGTACCCATGTGTTTTGTTTATTTTAATGCATACAATGTAAGTGGTAGGGGAAAACTGCATAAACATAATAAGGTGAAATTCTCCTTATGAAGCAACATATGAGGGTTATTGTGCCAACCTGTTTGTGACTACAGTACAGTGAATGAAATACAAACTGACTTAATCAAATACTGTACTGTATAAGCAAAGGTTAGGTTAGATTAGATTAGGTTAGGTTAGGTTAGGTTAGGTCAGGATGGCTTGATGTACAGTTTAGGGGTCCTGTTATTTTTTTTAACTGTGGACTATGTGCTGCTCCTTACCATAAGGTTATGTTAGTTTAGGTTTTCGGTTTATAAGTTATTTTGCAAAATTACCAATATGCATGCCGGTCATTTTGTAAAATAACCGTATACTAGACAGTACTCTTGGTGACACTATGTTCTGTTTCTAGCCCACAACACATAATGGTACAGTATATTGTAGTGATCACAGCAGCAATTGTTGTCGTCATTGTTATTGTATATCACAAAGTCTACATAAGTGTTATTGTTAATATTTGGTAAACAATAACACGAGTAGTCAATCGGTCAGTGATGTAAAATGCTTGAGTACATGTTGCTGTGTGAAATGCTATGTAGTAATTTTCCACATATTGTTATTAGTGATTGAATATCATTGTAATTTATCACATTTCCCAATCAATAACACATAATATTTGAGACACAGTTCATACTCAATATTTTGTAGGTGTATGCAGTTATTTTTTTGACTCTTATTACACTTATAGTCTTTAACTATTGTATTATCTGTATTATTCATTATTCTCCACTACTTTTCTGCTCTTTTAAATGAAACTTTGTACAGTAGACCCTTGCCATTCATGGGTTTGCGATTCGCGATTTCGGCGATTTGCGGTAAGCAGATGGTGGCTGTGGTGCCCAGCTTGTGAGCCTTTTCCCACAGGCCTGAGAGTCGCCCCAGGCACCCACAGCATCTCCTCTCTCCTTGTTTGTGCTCAACCATTGCCTGTGATGCGGCATCTCTTGTGTTGTACGGAAAACTTTAGTGTTTCTGTGTGAAAATGGCTCCTAAAAGACTGTTGTCAGTGCTAGTGGAGTGAAATGTAAAAGGCACAAGTCAGTGATGACCCTGACAAAGAAAGTTGTATTATTAGATAAGTTAAAAGAGGTGGATGAGCCCTGTGGCTGGTCAGTTGTTTGTTTGGTGTAGGTATACAGTAGTGCACTACAGGTAAGGTAGTTCCTATTGAGGTTTGGTCTATTTATGCCATCCCTTGGAACCTACACGTGTTTACTGTACTAGTCGATAAATACAGTACTGAAAATGCAGTTATATTTCAGAACATTTAAGTTGATTATTTTTTCTTTTTATATACAGTGTACTGATTTTGTCCAGGTCCCCCCCCATTCCTACCTCAGGTATTATCTGCTCACAGGCGGGGGTGTCCTGGTTGTAAGCCACTCTTTGTTGCCGGGTGTGTCAATGTTTTGTTTTATTATATGAATATATTCCCACCACACACACACACACACAGTTCCTGTCTCAAGGCCAGAAGGTAAGTTGTTATTAGATTATGTAAACAGTATTCAGTGGATAATGTGGAGTGTTTGTTTCAGCTGGAGACATGGAGGAAGGTCTCCTATCGTTAAAGTGGAACAACCACAAATCTACATTCTTCCATGTCCTCTCCACCCTCCGAGAAAAGGTACAGTGTGTCTCCCAACACTCGTTGTTTTAGACTAATGATATAATGTATTTGTAGTTAGTCCTGTATTGTTTACCTGTGTTGTTATTGTACAGTAGAGATCATTTGTAGGTTAACTTCAGGTATACCTGTTCATTATTTACACAGTAACATACGATTATATAAAGCAATTTTTAATCCAGAGAAAGTGAAAGCTACTTGTGAATGTCATCAGAATTCATTTGATTTTTTAAAAAACAATAGAAAATGAAAATTTTTCCAAGTACCTGTAAATATCTGCCTCTGGCAGCTTTTCCTTCTCACTTGTACCACTCTTAATCAGACTTGTGGTTTGGAGAATACAATACTGAGTATCACAAGTGTCACCTGGGTTGTTTTCCATGACTAATATATCAAGTACAGTACTTAATATATGTTCCAGACTGTATTTGGGATTCAAAGGTTACTGGCAGGTCAGAGGTCAAAAATAGTTACAGTACTTGTATTAATATGTTTAATTTGTTATTTTTATTAGTCGTGTGGGCCAACAACTGTTACTCAGTCTTGTACGTCGTTGTAATGAAACATTTCTCTCTGTTTCAGCACACATACACTGATGTGACGTTAGCTTGTGATGGCCGGTTATATCCAGCCCATAAGTTTGTGCTATCGACGTGTAGTGAATACTTCAGTGATATATTTACTTCCACAACAGGTAACAATATAGTAATTGTACTTAAAGATGTTAGAAGACAAGATCTTGAGTATTTGCTTGACTACATGTACCTGGGGCAAGTTGATGTCGCTCAGTCAGAATTATCGAGCCTTATAAAAACCGCCGAGTGCCTTAGAATCAAAGGTTTAGCCATTCCGGACGACGAACCGCAACAGACCCCCAGAAGAGGGCCGGAGGAGCGGGACCGCGAAGGAAGTCCCCCTTCCAAAAAGAAGCGACACATGGTTGAGGAAGACAGAACTTGTAGCATATCCAGTAACAACACAACTAGTAGAATACCACATATGCCCCTTCCTCCACCACAGCAGTCACAACAGTCACAACAAGCGTTGTTGCAAAGATTACAACAAGCACCCATACCACAACCTGCTCAGGCTCCACCAACATCACAAGCAACTGGCAAAACTCATCCTTCAACATTGTCTCACTCACTCGCACCCTCTCAAGTTCCAAGAACGTCTCAAGTCCCCACGAGTCCGCTCCCCCCGACATCAACGTCACAACCGCATCTGCCTCTCTCCTCACCCTCTCATTCTACTTCACTACCAGTCATAAAACAGGAAGTAGCAGATCCTCCAGAAACACCAGAAGCTTTTATGAATGAATCCTACGACGAGACGGAAACTAAACCCGACGTGTCAGAGTCTAGGCATCTGGAGCAGGATGTGGCAGTTGCAGGACCCTCGGGTTTGCAAGGGGTGAGTATTGAGGTTTTTCTTAAACTAGTGTAACAGACAATGAATATTATAATGACAGTTGTATCAGTATCGTGAATGTGCTGTAACTTATGAACTATTCATACGTTGATATTAATTGAACCTAAATTAACTACAATATGTGCATGTACAGACAAGTACTGTACTAGTTAGCATTAGACCAATAACAGGATCACACTTTTTGTTCATTGTTGGAACTGTGAGCATATTTAAGATTTAAATGAGTTCCATTTGGGTAAGAATCCTCTTAAGGTTTATGAATGGACTGTATTTTGAGTGGGGGACTCTCCATACATCACCCAGTACAGTACTAGATACTCTTGCTCCCTTTGATGTCTCCATGTTAATGAACAGTACTGTGATGAGAAGTGAATGAATAAATGTATTTAAAGAATGTGAAAGAGGAATTAAAAGCAGCCAAGAACCTGCCAGATAGGGCACTGAGGCACACTAAAAAAGGTCAAACAGGATTTATTAGAGAATGATGAAAATACAGTACTGTACATAATGTAAGTGGATTAAGAGGTTGAGTGAATAGCCATAGTTGTAGGAGAATGTGTCATGAATGGTAATCTGTTTTCAACGTTTGAGGATATGTAATAAGTGGAGGGGTAATTTAAAGGATTCTTGACAGTTTATAGGAAATTAAAATATCAAGACTGGGTTTTGATGGAGGCAGGCAGGCAGGGCAGGACATTGTTATTCTTTGTAATTTAAACATCAAGATTTTAACACTTGAGGTCCTACTCCCACTCAACTAACACATATGCACCCTGGTAGGCTACCCATCCACGGTCCATACATGGCTCACATAGTATTCTTTGGAGGGATACACTGAATATTTTATAGTTAGGGATAACAAGTTTTGTAGTTGTTTGGGGTCAAATGAAATACACATGGCTAGACAACCAATGTTTCTGAAGACTACAACTACAGTCATTAAGACTTAAGGAGTGTTATTTATTGAAATATTTTATTCCCTGTGTCACCCTTTAATCACTGTTGAACTTGTGCTAAAGTTTTCATATACGGTACATTATCCATATTGGTACTGTACTGTATTTATTAAACAGCTCCTTGTTAAAGAAAATACTGGAGATGAGGTCAGTGTTTTAATGTTGGTGTTTGGTGTTTAGTCTTCAGATAACTGGGATGGTGATAACGACTTGGCTGGCTTTGCCGGAGGAGACGGCTACTCTGAAGGAGGCATGGAAGATCACGGAGACTCGGAGGTTCAGGGGGTGAGTGTTGCCTGCTATACTCTTACCACACTTGGTAGTGAAGGGTTTGTCAAGACAGAAATTCTTTGTGGTTGATTTAAGTAACTTGTAAGTTTGTTTGGTAATGATTTTAGTGACTTGCAAGTACAGTATTGTTGTGGGTAACTCTATACATACTGTGAGAATGACTTATGTCTGTAGGCTCAAGTGCCGTTGCCACAATGCTGTCACATAAATGTTGCTTGCAATTGTCATGCCTCAAACCCTTTACTTTCAAGATGCCAATAGAAAATGAGCTTTGTTTTGCCAGACTTATTTTATATGTACAGTAAGTGATATTTTTGATAATGAGAAAGATCTGTTTCACAGTACAAGGCTTGCTGAAACAAAGCTCATCTTCAGTAATATTCTGAATAATATTGTTGTCAATAGAGAATGGGACCAAAATCATCAAGTTGTGACTCTTTCATTATAAGTACAGTACCACTAAGTGTACTCATTCAGGCTTAATATAAATAATTTAACAATACTACAGGTTAATGTGATGTTATTTTTATTTTTTAAGTTAGAAATTTCAAATGGTGACAGTGGGAGTGTTGAGAGAAATGGTTATTATGTGTTGGAACTCACCTTCTGCGTCACTTGCAGTGTCAAAATAGATCACACAGAAATTGCATCACAAGTACCAATGTGCATGTTAGAGTAGATATGGAAGGCAATTTTGGATATTTGCTTAAGAAAATATGTTGGTAGATACGGAACTAATTATCCAGTCGAGGTGGATATGGACGAAAGTTTTTGGGTTTGCTGTAGGAACATAACATAAGAAAATAAGGAGTCTGCAATAGGCCGGTTGGCCTGTGCATGGCAGCTCCTGTCGAGAGTTACTACCACTCTATCATCCATGAATCTATCCAGCCTCCTTTTAAAACTTTCCAGCTTTCCAGCACTTACTACAATGTTGCTAAGCTTGTTCCACTCGTCCACCACCCTATTTGTGAACCAGTTCCTTCCTATCTCCCTCCTAAACTTATCCAACTTAAATCCGTTGCTACGGGTCCTATCCTGCTCGGATATTACAAGAACTTTATCTATATCTCCTTTATCGATTCCTTTCACCCACTTAAATACTTCTATCATATCTCCCCGCACTCTTCGTCTTTCTAGGGAATGTAAGTTTAGTTTCCTTAACCTATCTTGATATGGAAGGTTTCTAAGTCCCAGAATCATTTTCGTCATTCTTCGCTTCACCGACTCCAGTGAATTGATATCCATTCTATAATAAGGCCTTATTAACGCACTATTTTCTAGGCCGTGGTCCGGGCTTACAAGTACCCCTAAGTCTCTTTCACAAGTCGACTTCTCTAGGTTGATGTTAAGGCTGTATACTGTATATTGACAGTGCAGAATTTTTTTCTTCCAATATTAAGTACGCTGCACTTGCTGGTGTTGAATTTTATTTGCCATTTTTCTGACTTTCCTGCAGTTTATTTAAATCCTCCTGTAGTGCATTTGCATCCTGCCCTGAATTAATCTGCCGCCCTATTTTGGTGTCATTCGCAAACTAGCTTATGTCGCTGCTGATTCCAGTATCTAGATCATTTATGTAGATTATGAACAAGAGTGGGCCCAGTACTGACCCCTGGGGAACCCCACTGGTTACACAGCCCCACTCATATTTAACACCATCTACATTGACCCTCTGTGTTCTATCGGTGAGCCATGAGCCTTAACTTTTCTCAGAAGCCTCTGATGCGGTGCTCTGTCAAACGCTTTGCTAAAGTCTAAGTAAATAACATCGTAATTTTGTCATTGTCTACTACTTGAAGACTTTCCTAAAAAAAGTCAGCAGATTTGTTTGACAAGATTTTTCCCTTTGTAAACCCATGTTAAGAGTCGTAGTTTAATTTGTTTTTCTCTAAATGCACAAGGTATATGTAAAATAAAAACTATGTTACTCAAAAGCTGGAACAAGACCTAGCAAGAATTCACTGCAAACAGGACAATTTAAGACAAATAAAGTTTAAAAAGATATTAGGAGATGTGAAAATGGTGATAGAGTTTAGTAATGATAGGATAAGGTATAAGAGAGTTGAGGGATGCTGGTGTGTTTTGTCAGGGGAGTTGAGGGATGCTGGTGTGTTTTGTCAGGGGAGTTGAGGGATGATGGTGTGTTGGCAAAATGGATGTAGGAGATTATGTGATTCAATGAAGAGAGATTGTATGTGAGAAGTAGAGAACATATGTGGGAGTGAGAGAAATATGAACGAGAGAAGAGAGAGAGAGAGAGAGAGAGAGGAAAAACTGAAGACAAAAGTGTTCAGTAGTTGAAAAAAAAAAGATTGGATGAGGAAATAGGAATGCAGATGTGTTTGCATGTAAATGAATACAAGTTATTATGGGCAAATAGTTTTAAGAAAAGATAACTTTATATTTAAAAATAGTAAAGAAAATAAAGCTTGATTGATAGTCATTATAAGTAGTGGGGCAAGTAGGACACGAATGACACATTTAGGGAGTTATGGTATGTAATGAATGTGTCTGTAATGGTAGTGGGTACAGTACTGTATAGTAATGACACTTGAAATAAACCGGGTGATTGTGTGTTCAAAGTACCGTACAACCCATAAGAGAGGATGCCAGGCAGAAAAGTAGTAATGATGCAAAATACAAAGAGTTCATGAAAAGCTTTGATAAATTTGGATATGTTTGAGGGCAATATAATATGTAAACACTTGATGCAAATATGGGCAGTACAGTACATGACGTAAGATAGAAAAATACAGTACATGTTGCTTACAGTGTTAGCTCTTTGGTCGAGAAGAAGAGACACGCTGAATGAATCTCACGTAAAGAGTGACCAATGTAAGAGTTAATATACACGGCGAGAGAGCATCAGAGGAGACGAACAAAACTAAGAGTGACTTGGAGGGTTGGTTGAATGGTATTGTGGTGTTGAGAAGAAAACTGATCCTCGGAATAAAGAGCAGATATGTTAATGCATAAAAGACTTATTGTAAGAACATTATTTAAGAGAAATGGTTAGAGGTTGACAGTGTAGGAAAGGAAGCCACCATTGAGGCAAATAAAGGATTCCTCTTGTTGGGGTGATTTGGTTTGAACACTGATGAGGCAGCCAAGTGTTATAGTGACCATTGAAGAGAGAATATTACAAACAAGGAAACTACTGAAGATGACTATAGTATTAATTAAACTCTTAGACGGCAGCCATCGTTGGTGGAAGTTTGCTGTAGGGTTGTGGCTTCCATCACATGTTACTTGCATTCTGTTTTTGTACATATTGGGGTGGAGTAGGGAATCCTTAGTTGCTGGATAAGGGTTAAGTGTGTGTGTGTGTGTGTGAACTAATAATAATTAACGGTTTATTAAGATAACATGGTAGCCCGAAGGCTGAAAATATACAATGAACAGAGGTGATAGGTTATATATGGTGAAATAGGGGAGCGGGTCACTTGATTGACAAAAACTTTCAATACAAAAATATAAAAAATAAAGAGTCAACATGTAGATGTTTGAGCTGGACTTGTAAACATTCTTGTGACCTGATGTTGGCGCCCACTGTCTGGATGGTCGCTGCGTCATACCTGGGTGTTAATCCGCTACCTCACTACAGCTGCTGCACCACGTGGTCCGGTAGGTCCTCCAGCTCACACACGGTGTTGGAGAAGGTTCTTGTTCCTCATGTGATGAAGCTAGGAATTCATAGTTTCTCACCTGGGTGGAATAGGGAGTCATCATTTCTCTCCTGATGTTGTTAGGAGTCTTTCTTGGCTTCTCATCCAGTGTTGGTGGTGGCAAGTGTACGGTGGACCCTGGGTGTGTCAGGTCCGGTCAGGTCAACATTGACCACTAAGCACTGATTGTCCCTCTAACATTTTTTCTTTCTTTCAAGTTAAAATTGTCACTTTTGTATATCACTTGTGGGTTGATCGTCAATCTTTGCATTGTACTGTTGGTGGAGGATGTTGATAAATCCAGATGGGGAGGAGGAGATGGGGAAAGGAAAGGCCTGACAAACCAGGCTGGCAGCTGTCTCCATGGTCATAAACCACGATGTCCTCACCCTATGAAGGCTGAAGACGTGTGTGTGTGTGTTTTACAAAGGGTTGGTAAATTGTATATGACAAAATAATTGGAAGATTGATAAGTCAGGGAGAATTGTAAGTCTGTGTTGTCCATTTATTCAGTACTTGGAAAGGATGGTAGAGTAGCTGATACTCTGTACTGTATGGCTTAGTTTTTTATTCAATAGCCCAAAATGATTACAATACTGTAGGTGCACTAAAGAACCTAAAAATCATATAGGAATAAAGTCTGATTGTCGTGAAGAACATTTACCTTAGCCAGAATCAATGTAATTCGCTCTCACATGAATTATCACGTTATCGCTGTGTCTTCATTACCCGTCGGTGGCACCGCTAACGTTTTTATTTTGTTTTGGTCGCACTCCAGAACAACACGTGTTTCTTGTCTAGCATCACATCAAGAATGCATCCTTTAGGAAATGTCAAATCACATTTCATAAGTTGTTTTGGTGTTTTCCTGTTTATTACACAACTAAAATATAGTATAATTGTTTAGGGTCCTCGAATAAAAAATGACTCTGTATTAGTGTTAATAATTGCCATGTTGTAAGATCATAAAAGAATAATGCAATGAAAAAAAAGTGAGATCTCTAGGGTGGACATTTGTTTTAAGAGGAAAATATACAATGTATTTAATTTTGCATAAATGAAATGGGGACTTTTTACGGAATGGCTTGTGAATCAGAGGTGGACTTGGTGACAGATGGGGTTTATTGAGAGGAGGATGAGTGAGAAATTGGAAGGTAGTACAATGTGGTATAAGGTGGTGTACAAAACAGTAGTGTGGAGAAGCTGAGGAAATAAGGAGTAAGGTGACAACACATGCCATAGGTTGATGGATTATTTTCATAGTGGTTGACAAAATACTGTAGTGTCATGGAGTTGGTTTGGAAAAATTACAATATGGAGTGGTAG